AACTTCCATGTTTTAACTCCTTTAAAGATAATTATTCATCTGCACACATTTATATTCCATTGAATTCGGTATACATTTTACTTCTTATTGGGTAATTAGAATTGAAAACAATTTTATTCTGTTTAATACAATAAAATTTGTAATCATTAGAATTCCATTTATGACCTAAATATTGCTGACACTTTAATTCATTTTAATAAAAAGGTAATAAAATGCATTAAAATGACTGCATATATGGTCAAAATTGAATATGCTTTTAATGCCAAACCAATGTCATTTTTGAAATTTTGTGTAAACATTTTAATCTATTTTAATCAACCTCTTCTTACCGGGTTTGGAGCCTTTTTGTTTGACTCATAAACAGTAAAATCACCACAAATTCTAATACAAAACCTTCAATTTTTTCTTTTTCTGATAATAGTTTCTTTTTTTAAATACCTTAATTCTTAAAATTGAATATTCAACAAACTATCTGGTGGGACAAAGAGACTATATTTGAGGTTAAGTTGTTTGTAACCATCTCGGAGGGATAAATTAAATAAATACTCCGATGATCAATTTGACTAACTCGGAGGGAAAAGTTAACTATTCATAGAATCAGGTTTAACACTCAAAAACCTGCCACTTTAAGTTTGACTATACAGTTTTCTCAGTGTAAAAATTATTAAATGAATAATTTTACTTAAATATTTCAAAACTAAATAAATTTTAAAAGAGGGGCTGTCCATAAATTACGTAACACGTTTAGGGGGGAGGGGGGGTTCGAGAAAATGTTATCATATGTTACATGGGAGGGGGGGGGGGGTCAATCATCATTGTTACGTAATATTTATAAGGAACTTAATCTCTTTATAATGGATAAATTTTTGAAAAGCTGTCCCTTGCCGCCACTTCAATATAAGTAAAAATCGAATCATTTCGCGAACCGATTCTTGGGAATAATATACAATTTTTATTGTTAAAAAATCAATGTTATATTTTTGGTTGTTCAGTATGATTAATAAAATTATTCCTCTAAATGTTTTTTATATTTAACTTAATTTTGTATTGCTATTGTACGATATAAATACTAAAAAAAACAGTAATAAAAAAATTTGTTTCGAAAAACGTTAATAAAAAAATATTTTTAAAAATTACGTAACATTTATAAGGAGGGGGGGGGTGTAAAACGATTTTGTTACAACTTGTTACATAGGGGGAGGGGGGGTTCAAAATTTCACTAAAAACGTGTTACGTAATTTATGGACGGTCCCAGAGTTGCGTTTACAATTTAAAAAAATGAACTACAAACGGTTTCAGTTTGAAATTTTATAAAATTTCAATCTTGAATGAATTCAATTAAAAATTTTAATAAACTTAAACTTAAAATTTTTCAAAAATTTATTTTTGAAAAATTTTAATAATTCAAATTCTTCTGAAATTTGTTAAATTTGTCTATAAATATTTAATTAATTATTAAAAATAATGGATTTATAGAAAAATATTTAATAAATATTGAACTTTAGAGAATTTACAAATAATTACAGAAATTAAAGTATTTTCAAATTAATAAAATTCTTCCAACAAAATTTTATTATGTTCAAAATTTAAAAAAAATTCTCGTTAAAATCACAATTATCTTTAATATAAATAACAAAATTATTCTTCAAAAATCAATTATTTTAAAAAATGTCAATAAAATTCTTGTCCTACTTTCAATTTTCAAAAATTTTTCAAAATTCAATGATTTTAAACATCTACTATTTTAATAAAAATTCATAAAAAGAATTCAATTCTTTAAAAAAACTTTTCAATAAAATTCTACGCAAACATTTATTTATTTTCATGAATAATAAAAATTTCACAAGAATTCAATTATTTACAAACTTTTTATAAATTTCTTCGCGATATTAAATTATTTTCATAAATAATAAAACTCATCACACAATTTCAATTATTTTGAATATTAAAAGCATTATAGGATGAATTTTTAGAAATAATTGAATTTTCAAAAGGTTTTAAATCGAAATCAAAATCATTGATAATCTGAATTTTCATACATTTAACTAACAATTCAATAGAATTAATTTTTTTGTAATTATTTGATAATTTTATTTTCTAATATATAGGTATGTAATTGAAGAAATTCCCAATAATCAAAATTTGAAATACAATTGACTTGCAATAAAATGGATTTGAAAATTCTCAAAGAACTTTTTAAAAAACTATTAAAAATGGTTGATTTAGAGAAGAATTTTAGTTAAAAATTCTAGTAAATATTAATTGATTTAAAATAATGAAAATAATTTTGAAGAAGTTACAGTAACAGTATTCTTGTAATATAAAATAATAATTTCATCACTCGGACATCTTAAATTATTATAAAAAATGAAGATACCGATTGCTCCGAGTCGAAGACTCGGAGTGAACGATTTTTTCATGTTTTATAACAATAGTTTTATAAGTTATATAATTTCAGAAAAGTTTGAATTTGTATATTTTGAAAAATTTTATTTCCTATAGAAAAAATTATAACTGTTTATTTAAAAAATAATTTTTGAAAATATTAATTCCTGCGGAAAAATAATAATAATTATTTAAAAAAAAGTGAATGCTGTTTTCGAATAATTTTTCAATTAAAGAAATTCGTAAATAGAACATTTTTTTAGTAAAAATTTTAAAAAATTCAATTTTATTTTCAATTGACAAATAAAATTTATTAACATTTTTTTCCTTTATTTTTAAAAAACTTTTGAATTTTTTTAAAGCAATTTGAATTAAAAAAAAGAAATAATTTAAATTATTCCCTTATTAAAATTGAGAATTTTCTACAAAAATATTAAGAAACGGGAATATTTAATGTTTTTTTACAAAGAAAAGAATCAGTTTTTGTTTTAAGGAATAAAAATTATGCATAAAATGGATATATTTCCTATATCTTAATCATAATTTTTAAACAATTAACAATTTTTTATAAATGAAAAGGAGAAAATTTTCCATAATTTAGATTCGTCAAACGAAATTTGTTATACCGTCGGGTTAGCGCAATATCAGACTTATTCGACAAACAAAGCAAGAACATACTTATTCAGAAAAAAGGCAAGAACATGCTTATTCAAAATATAAAGTAAAAACAAACGAATTCGCAAATTAACCTTTTTAGTCAGATTTTAAATTTTACTTTTGTACAATTGTTTTACGAATAATAATTTTTATTTAGTTCCATTGAGAATAATTTTTTTAATATTTTGTTTTTCTAATATGAAAAGTATTATTGAAATAAAATTATAATATTCTTGATAATTTAAAGTCTGACTAAAAAGGTTAATTTGCGAATTCGTTTGTTTTTACTTTATATTTTGAATAAGCATGTTCTTGCCTTGTTTATTGAATAAGTATGATATTGCGCTAACCCGACGATACAAACAATATTTATTAAAGAAAAAAATAACAAAAGCATAAACAAAAACTAACTTCAAAGTGTAGACAGAAAGAATGAAATACGAAGATTATTATAGTTAATCCTTTAAAACGATTCAATTATTTTCAAAAAATATTCGAATTTCAATTATTTCAAATATCTAAATTATTTCCAATATCTAGTATTTTAAAAAAATTACACAAAAACAAATTAGTTAATAAAAAAAATTTATAATATTTATCCAAAATTCAATCATTTTCATAAATAATAAAATTCACACAGGACTTTAATTAATTTAGAATAACATTTTCAAAAAAATTTCGAAATTTGACAATAATTCAAATACTCTTATACTAAAAATAACATTTTTCATGGAAATTTAAATTTAAAAAAAAATTTTGATAAAATTCTTAGCAAGAATTCAATTATATTCACAAATAAAGTTTTCCACAAGAATTAAATTATCTAAAATAAAATTCTCATAAAATTTATTATATTACGAAAAAATTAATTACTTAATACAATGTTTCTAATATTTTTATAAAGAATTTAATTGTTTCAAAAAATAACAAAATTATTTTTAATACTATTTTATATTAATTGAACGAAAAAATTAAATTATCTTCATGAATAATCAAATTCCTCTTCAGATTTAAATTATTTTTATTACAATTTCACAGGAATTGCTAGTAAAATATAATTAATCTGAAAAATTTATTTCTAATTCCTCGAAAAAATCAATTATTAAAAAGAATTTCTTTTTTAATTCTTTGGAAGAATACAATTATTTACAAAATTTTTTTTTAATTCTTTGGAAGATTCCAATTATATTTACAAAAATATTAAAGTTCTTCCCAAGAATTCAATTATACACAGAAATTATTTTTCGAAAGAATTCAATTATGTCGATAAAAAAAATTATTCCCGAAAATTCAATTATTTTGTGGCTTTTTAATAAAATTCTTTGCAAAAATCAATTATTTTTTCATGAATAACAATATTCATTATAAGAATTTAATTATTTAAAAAAATTAATTAAATACCACACAAACATTCAATTATTGTCACAAAACTTAAATTGATATTCTTTGTAAAATTTAATTATTTTTAAAAACTTTTCACAATTCAATGATTTTCTATATCAACTATTTTTAAAATTTTCAAAGCAGAATCCAATTATTTAAAAAATTGAGCCTTCGAAAAGTATAACAAGACATAAAATTCTGATCGCCATGCTAATTCAATAGGCGTCAGAATTTTATGTGTGGTTATACTTTCCGGAAACTCAATTGTTTGTAAAAATCTTTACAAAAATTAAATTATTTTTATAAATTTTTAAATTCCTTCATGAACAATAAAATTCGCTGCAGGAATTCAATTTATTAGTAGGATAAGAAGTAAATATTTTTGATGATAATAAAGGTAAGGTCACGAAAATAAAATATAGAATGGAAAATTTATCAGTTTTGTGAAATGTCTGAAACAAGTTTTTTTGGTCGTCAAGTTTAATTTTGCGATAGCAACTTTTTTTAATTAATTATCGAGTGCGAAGTCTGCACTAATTTTCAAGAAAAAATATTTAAATTATTAAATTACTTACCTCTGATCCCTTTGATCCCTCTGATGAAATAATGCTTCCCTGTTCTGCTCGCCACTAAATTTTAATGGACTAAGTCCTGGAGCTCTCACGCAAGTTTACACCGATCTGCCGGAAATCCGGAAATTGGCCTAGGCGAATATGGTCAGTTGTAGCGGCGTGCACGCGACACGTGCTATACATACAACGTAGTGTGTTTTTACGCCACTTGGCGCTGAACATCGTAATATTCAAGTGGTAATATTTAGAAATTAGAACTTACCGACCGTAAATAAAGTATAAAGTATATACTAAGTAAATATAATTCTATTGAAAGAGAAATAATTATTACTTGTCTATTAATGAAAAGTTTATAAATATTATGTCGTTACAAGAGCGTTATATTGCCTGTTTTTTTTTCATTATCAAATTTTTTCCTTGTGATAATGTTTTTGCATGCAAGTATTGTTTTTTATTGAAATATTGGATTGAAATATTGGAACTTCATAAAAAACATTCTGCAATTTTTATTTCTATTATTGTATACCAATTTTCAATCTTAATAATCTTTTTTATTATGTTTCCTTTTTTTATTTTTCTGTAATAAACCATGTAATTTAAAGCCATGGACAAATGTCACTTCCGCCATCTGTCGCGCAAAATGCGCGGCGACATATCAACAGTTTATTCTAATATCGATCTTACACACACATACATCCTACACTAAAACTGACATTTCCCACTTTAAACATTAATTTCTCAATAATTTAGCGTTAATTTATCCTACAAAATTGATTAATTTCATCCTAAGATATTCCTTTATTCATTTCAATAGTTTTTTTTAACTGTTTTCATCTAATTTGTGAAATATTATAACGAAATACGAAGTGACGACGAAGTAACGACGAATTCGTCGTAATCTCGTAGTTCACCCATCCGCAAGGGTACCCTAATTGAGACATAATAATGCATATAATTTGCATAACGTTGTTTAATTATATTATAAATAAAAGAATATATTTATCTCTTTATTTAATTTGTTATTGATTTATTGATTATTTAATTAATACTAATTTATTTATTAATTAAACAATTAAACAATAATCAAAATTAATACTCAAGACAATATAAACGTATTAATAATAAAATTATTATTTTTAAACATTAAAAGAATTATTTCTTCAAGGAAAAATAATTAACATTAAATTGTTAAAAAATGAACAGCAATTCAATAAAACATAATAGTGTTGATAATATTAACAGTATTAATAATAACAACACTAATGTAACAATAATTATAATAATTGGAATAATAATATTTATACTTAATCAGTCAGATATTGTTAAACTAATTCTTAGTAAAACAATATAAGTATAAGTATCAATGATTATCAAATCATTATTACAATATATGCTGTTAATTTCTAAATTGTTAAAACGAATTTTAACTCGAAGTATATATATATATATATATATATAGATATAGTGGTTGCTGGGCCCTTTGAATCTTTGCTGGGGAGGAATGCGAAAGAGGAAAAGCGGAAACGTAGAGTAGAGAGAGACAGAGATAGAAAGACAAAGAAAGGCGCGCGGTCAGGGAAATCGAAGAGTAAGGCCCAGCTAGACCAATTTTTTCTACATGTCGATGTCGAAAAAGTCAACCCAAGGGAAGATACCACATTTTCACGAAGTTGAGACCTTCAAAAGAAGGGTTCTCAACTTGTGCAGTGGTGTTTTTCTTTCGCGGAATTTTCACATACATGTGACCGGTATCACACACCCAGAAATATTATTGAATTGCACCTGAAACTTGTGACCTTTTTTCTGTTTATGCTTCGTTCATTTGTCATGTTCATAACCCAGTAGAAAAGGATTTTTTAATATAGCATTTTGGACGATTGAGCAGGCCGTCTGCTCAATTGTCCAAACGGCATTTGGACAATTGGACTGGTTGCTCAATTATCCGATGCATTAGGTCCAATCATCCAAAATGTTTTTCGTGGCTAAAAACCTGCTGAATTAAGAAAAAAAGTACTGAAATGTTACAGAAACTTTAGAGAAATCTTAATTTTAGACAAATACAGAAAAATTAGGTATAAAAATACCTCGAGTGAGGAAAAAGAACAAGATTTCTAAAATATCACTTTTTAACTGACAGTGCAATGCTGTACTTGGAATTTAGTTGGCAAAGAAGTGAGGATTCTGATAAAAAGGAACACTTCATTATCCACTCTCAATACTCCTCATGTGGTAATATATTGTAGATTTCGGTTTCTAATTTTAAAAAAGAGATAATTCAGCAAAATAAAATATTATTGTTAATACACTATTATTGAAAATCTACAATTATATATCACCACATGAGGAGTATTGAGAGTGGATAATGAAGTGTTTCTTTTTATCAGAATCCTCACTTCTTTGCCAACTAAATTCCAAGTACAGCATTGCACTGTCAGTTAAAAAGTGATATTTTAGAAATCTTGTTCTTTTTCCTCACTCGAGGTATTTTTATACCTAATTTTTCTGTATTTGTCTGGAATTAAGATTTCTCTAAAGTTTCTGTAACATTTCAGTACTTTTTTTCTTAATTCAACAGGTTTTTAGCCACGAAAAACATTTTGGATGATTGGACTTAATGCATCGGATAATTGAGCAACCAGTCCAATTGTCCAAATGCCGTTTGGACAATTGAGCAGACGGCTTGCTCAATCGTCCAAAATGCTATATTAAAAAATCCTTTTTTACTGGGAACCCACCAAACCATTAACATTTTTAAGACAGTCAATGTTGAATTTACGCACGTTTTTCGTATCCTTTAACATTATAGCAGATGTAACGAAGTAAATCGTTACTTGTATAGGCAAAATTTCGTTCTGAGTCCAGTGCTATAGTTAGTGACTTTGTCTCCGTCTTTTCTATCGTTCCGTCGCATTTTTCCCAATTTTGGTATAGTCCGTTGGTCAGCGTCTTGTGTCTATCTCACCTAGTTCCCCTTCCCTGAATGATTTCTCGTCTGTTTGATAAGAGGGAGATGTCACATGGCTTTTAGCGACCCTTTCCCTTCTTTCTAATAGGTATCGTTGATATTCGACAAGGAAGGATTCATAGGAAAAATCATGAGGTGTGATAAGGAAGGAGTTTTCCCAAATTCGCTGCTGGTTCCCTGAAAAGCCGCGGATCGGAGGAACACTCGTCGCCCAGATATTAATCGAGCTGGTTGAGTTTTGAAATTGTAATTGGTCTGAATTTGTAATTTCGTTTGTGCGAAAATCAAAGTTATTTAAAGTTTAATTATTGCCATTATTTTAATATTTTAATTTCTTAATAAATTATCAGTATTGTTTTTTAATTAATTTATGTTATTTTATTTGGTGTTTTAACCTTTGAATTATTTTCTTTGTTAATTGTGTTCGAATTGACCGTTGGAGTTTGGAGACGCCGTTGGTTGTTGGCGAGTTCATTCAACGAAGGTTTGAATTTATTTATCACTGGAGATCGATGCATCGCGATTTTAATTCTCAGCAGTTCCCCCCTTTAATGAGATTTTGTTGAATTTTGTGTCCTTTGTAAATTAGAGTTTTGAGATGATAGTGACTGTTTTTCGGGTTATCGATGCAATAGTTTAAATTGAGTAATTATTAATAAACTATTAATTTCCCCGTTACACAGACAGTGTTGAATTTAAGGCAGCTCATAAATTAAGATTTACTTTTTACTGTGAAATAATCAATTTGTTCTTTTACTGGTGTCAATTCTTTCACTGGTGCAACTACCCCTCAGAACCTCTTACAGGTGAACTGAGGTTAAAGTATTATGTCGTCGCCCAACGGGAAGTTGCCAATGTTAACGATTGGTTCAATAATGGGCCATGCTTGGTGCCCAATGGTTTTTTCTTGGCAAAACAATTGGCAACCATCATTGGACCACCAATGGTTTAAACTTGGGATGATCACGCTACTGCCAATGAACGGTAGCCAAGCATCGGGCCAATATTAGTTGCCAAGGAAACAAAATCGATTTTCAAAAGCTTGATTTTTTATTGGCAGCCAACAAAAAACCAAGGTTATAAAAATTGGTTTTTTTTAATTATTAATTAAAATTTATTTTTAAAAAATATATTTTTCAAAAATTTATTTTTTAAAAATATATATTTTTTTAAATTAATAGAACATATTAATTTAATTTGTCACCTCTGGTAAAACAAAGATGAAAGACTGATAAATTCCCTCACTTTATATCTTACAGTGGAGGGATAACTGTGAATGTCTTTGCGAGAGAGGAGCAGGTACTTATATAGAGCCAGTGAAACAGGTCACAAGCGAGAAAAAATCACTAGCATGCACTCTGGCGGCGCTTGTCGGAACTGTTTTCTGGCGCGTATGCATATCCTGACGTTATCGACACAGCGCTTGGCAACCAACGTTGCGCCACTTCCGACAAGCGCCGCCAGAGTGCATGCTAGTGATTTCTTCTCGCTTGTGACCTGTTTCACTGGCTCTATATAAGTACCTGCTCCTCTCTCGCAAAGACATTCACAGTTATCCCTCCACTGTAAGATATAAAGTGAGGGAATTTATCAGTCTTTCATCTTTGTTTTACCAGAGGTGACAAATTAAATTAATATGTTCTATTAATTTAAAAAAATATATATTTTTGAAAAATATATTTTTTTAAAATTAATTTTTGAAAAATATATTTTTTGAAAATAAATTTTAATTAATAATTAAAAAAAATCAATTTTCAAAACCTTGGTTTTTTGTTGGCTGCCAATAAAAAATCAAGCTTTTAAAAATCGTTTTTGTTTTCTTGGCAATTCCTTGGCAACTAATATTGGCCCGATGCTTGGCTACCGATCATTGGTAGTAGCGTGATCATCCCAAGTTTAAACGATTGGTGGTCCAATGATGGTTGCCATTAATGTTCCAATAGTGGAACGGAGTTCGCCAAGCATGGCCCATTATTGAACCAATCGTTTACTTCCCATTGGGCGTACTTAACTTCAAATCTTTCAAAATTGCCCTTTACTTTTTTATTCAATAAATTTATTTGCAAGAATAAGTGTAATGTTATTTAAATTTCATTAGACATTCATCATTTTTGTTAGGCAAATTTATTCTTCAGTTTAAAATGTTTATTTTACAAAGAAATCGGAAAGCCCCCTGTTTCTAAGTTGGGCA